AAAATTCCAGGAAATCACATCATATGAATTTATAAAAACTGATAACCATCTGATGAGGAAAAATAAGCATTCTTTGTAAGTGGGCAAACCTGCAAAATCAGCAAGGGGTCAAATACTTATTTCCCCCACTGTATATACTCCCATTTAAAGTCTTTTCTTCTTTTTCTTTCTCCCACTTTTTTCCTGTTGTAATTATTTAACTTGGTTTAATTTATTGTGATTAATCGAGCAGACGAGTCGGCCTCTCCGCTGTCTGATGGGAAAACTCCACTAAATGTGCGGCAGCATGCTCTCTCAGTGTCTGATTCTGAAACCAATCACTGTGTTCGTGGCCCGCTCTGCTCTGGTCTCGTCCACTTCTGTCCCTCCGGCTTTCTCCCCCCCCCCACCTCACCCCGCAGGCAGCAGATCTCACGGTCGAACGCAACCCGGCATGCAAACCCAAGCCGGACCCCTCCACCCTGCTGTTCGGCAAGCAGTTCTCCGACCACATGCTGACCATCAGCTGGTCGGAGCAGGACGGCTGGGAGGCTCCGCAGATCAAACCCTTCCAGAACCTGTCGCTGCACCCGGCCACCTCGGCCCTGCACTACTCCATAGAGGTAAAGGGAGCCCGTCCCCCCCCCCTCACAGTTCAGCTCAAAAGGCTGGTGTTTGTTTTTTGTTTTTTTTGTTGTTAACTCATTGACTGGCAGCCATTTTTTAGAACAGAGAGTCCCATACTGCCAGAGTTTCTTTGGAGCATTTTGACTGATTTTTCAAGAGCCACAGAATAGTTTGTGCTATGACTATGTAAACACCGAACACACCAAAAGAAAGAGTAGACTCTCTTCTTTCATCAGGCAAAAATAATTGTTTCTACCTTATTCCGTTCTTCCTCGACTTGCGTCTCACCGGCGACATGTTCTCTCATATCGAACCGTTACGTTTTTTTTTATTTGCCTACAGTCTATGCTCATCTCCCATCAAAAGTGGCACTGCCCCCTAGAGGGTCAATTTGTTAGTACATACTCTGTCTAGAAGCCTGATATTTACGGACAAGCTTTAGCAGATCGTCCCCCAGCCACTCTCGTTGAAAAACATAAAAGACGTCTATAGACGTCTGTGGCAGTCAACG